CATAAACTAAACTAAAATTCTGCAGCACACCAAAAACTATATTTTTTGCCAATCTGACAAAAGAATAGGTACAATTTTGACTCATTCACACCGACAGCTATTGTTGTGCTGGCTGCTGTCATTTTTTATTTGACAATCTTACGCAAAAGAGATCAGTGCCCCTGACTAAATAGTCAGGTAGTGCATGTTTTAAAAATTCTTGCGGCACAGGGTTGAAAACTGCTGACCTAAAGCATAAACCAGTTACTTGACTCGTTAGCTCCACCTTGTGGCCCCTGAAGGGAAAGGTGGGCAGGTTGAAGGAACCACCTCACCAACAACTGGCATTTGAGTATCTCTAATGCAAAGGCGAATTCTGTCTTTAAACCCAAATTTATGCATCCACATATGAGACCTCTAATCATGATCTTCAATGACGCCCATATGATTAAACCCAATGGTCGCTGTTTATCATGTTCCTTCTCCTAAAAACATTTCTCTTGGTTTCACTGAGGTAATCCTCAGTCTATTTTCTCCTACTACACTGACCTTTCCTTCTTAGGCTCCTTTCCTACTGTTCCTCCTCCTAATAAGGTGCTTGGCCACTAAATATTGTCATGCCTCTGGGCGCAGACCTAGACTGTTAACCTCAATCTCATCACTAGACAATCTTCCCAGCTCTCACAGATTTAAGCACCATCTATATACAAATGACTCTCAAATTTCTAATCCCACTTGGAAGTAAACTCACCATCAGCTGCCATGACATAGCTACTTTAGTGACTGATAGGCATTTTGTAACTCACCATGGCTGAAACAGCTTGACTCCTGACTGCCCAATCTGCTTCTCCCAGATTTTCCCATCCCAAGAAACAGGGCCACTACCCACCCAGTTGCTAAAGCCAAAACCCAGCAGTCATTCTCAGTTCCTGCCTTTCTTACTTCACATTAACACAGCAGCTAATATACTTGGCCCCTCATCCAAAATATACTCTAAATCCACCCACTTCTCTGTCACCATTTAGTCCAAGTTCCAACACCACTTGGCTGCCTAAATGGTCCCTACCCCACGCCCACGTTCTACAACCCATTCTCCATGCAGCAGCACCAGCTGTCTTCTTAAAGGAAGAACTGTATCCTGTCACTCCTTGCATAAAACCAGAAAAGTTCCCTTTTATTCCTAAGAATAAAATCCAGACTCTTACCAACCATGGCCTTTAAGGTACTACCATAAGTCCTGGCCCTGAACTATCTTGCCTCTTCCTCCCTAGCTCATTGGGCTCTACTCACACAAACACCAAGCTCATTTCTGCTTTAGAACCTTTGCACTGGCTGCTCCTTCTGTCTAAAATGCTCAGTCCTATGCGTCATTCGAATCTCCAACTGAAGCACTTCCTGTGCATGGCTTTTCCCTACCGCCCACTCTTCTCTCATTCAGCCTAGTCATTCACCAGCACCTCTGAGATAAGCATGCTCTTTGACTTGTATATAAACCTATCTCAGTCTGTCCCACTTATACCTTAATAACCAGAAAGTTATTTTGGATGTAAAATTATGTGATCCTCTTAGAAAAATAAAATATAGTTAAGAATTCTTAAAAAGCAGCATTGTTAAAAGGCATGGGAGCCATTTACGACACCTATCACTGGCCCAATGCCTTTAGTCTCGGTCACACGGACTCTGACAACCCTATGTGCAGTCTTGGCTTTGCCACCAAGTCCTCCTGTCTCACCCAGACCACTCTGTAGATATTTTCCTGTTGGAAAGATGGGGAGCAGGCGGCCTTGTTTCTAACTGAACTTAGCTCAGCTCACCATGGGCAGAGCTAGGGTTTCAGACACTGCCAGTCCACCCTTCCTCCACCATGCCCCTCTCCAGACAATGCTGCATACCAGCGATTTTCAACCATTTCCATCTGATGGCACACATACACTAATTACCAAAATTCTGTGGCACACCAAAAAATACATTTTTGCCGAGCTGACCGAAAAAAAAAGGTACAATTTTGGTTCATTCACACAGGAAGGCTATTGCTGTGTTGGCTGTTGTCACTCTTTTATTTGACAATCTAAGGGAAAAGAGTTTGGTGCCCCTGACTAAACAGTCATGGGTTGCATGTTTTAAAAATTCCTGTGGCACACCAGTGTGCCTGGTTTCAACAGGAAACCAATTGAAGATTGCTGCCTGATTAACCCAATTAATATTTCTTCAGGCTCAGTGAACAAGAAACGTAACGCATGTGTCACACATCGGGTGAAAACAGCAAGCAAGCGTTTCCTCGACGCATAACTTCAATTATTCACAAAAGCTTATGTCTGGCTGTGTAAAAATATTTTAATAAAGAGGCCAGATAAGTCCTTGCTAAATGACAATTTAAAATCCTGCTTCAAGTACAAATATACAGGGTGTCCCAAAAAAATATATACACACTTTGGCTGCCATTATTAATTCCAATGGGTTAAATCTGAAAAGAAAGAAACATCAATTGAGCTATCAGCCATTAAAGTGTGTACACACCCTGTATATTAAGTATTAACTTACTTGCCTAGTACAAGAACAAAGTAATATGTACTGTAATATCCCAGGACCATGTATGCATCAGATTCTCAGTCGGGCAAGGTTAAGGGAGCATTTTTGGTGAAAGGTGTATCTATATAAGAGACAAGTTCAAGGACACCCCAGGGATTGTAAGAATTTATTTTTGTTTACAAAAACAAATACTATTAACTTTATAAGCAAAATATTCTGATTCATTTTAAGCAAGTCAGGATGCCTTTTCATTGAGATATAAATCACATATAACATTGCATTATTTTCAGGTATATAACATGATGATTTGATGACTTGTATATACTGTGAGACGATCACCCCAATAGGAGTAGATAACATCCATCATTTCATATACAACAGTTAAAAAAAATTTTCTTGTGATGACAACTTTTAAGATCTACTCTTACCAACTTTCAAGTATACAATACTGTAGTAACTACAGTCACCATGCTGTACATTAGATCCCATGACTTATTTATTTTGTAATCGGGAGTTTGTACCTTTTGGCCCCCGTCACCCATTTTGCCCATTCCCCCGCCCCCTCAGGAAGCCTTTCTATATTTGTTTCAGCCCAGGATCAAATATGCAATGTGTAGGTCTCAATTAAAAAACACACAATATAATAGAGGAAACTGAGATACAAATTTAGAGTCAAAAGCCCTGGTTTTCAGCTTCAGTTCCAATAATTACCAGCAAAGCTGCCCCAGGTTAATGATCTCATGTGTGAGTTTGTTCTCATTGTCACCATCGCTACCTTTATTTCCACCTTACAGATAAGGAAGTTTATTCCATTTTCCCTCATCATCGTGAGATCCAGACCCGATCCTGCCTTTAAAAGTGTTTTATTAGCAGCTTTATATAGAGCATACATGAGATAGTGATTCCTTCTACCAGGAACAGGTTCCATTTTCCACTGTTCACACTTTAATGTGTACCAAGAGCCTTAAAACTTCATACCTGATGGAACAAGAGTGATGGATATATGAGAGCCCTTCATACTATTCTCTCTGCTGTTGTATATGCTTGCAATTTTCCATAATAAAGTTGATGAGTTGGTTGGGTTTTTTACCTCCCTCTCATAGAAGCCATGATTCTTCTGATTTTCCATTTTTACAACCCAAGTTGAATGACAGGTTTCTCTCTAGAGATTTGTCAATCCCTACCCACAGAGGTCTCCTTTGGAAAGCAGAAAGGGGGCTACTTGAAGGCAGGGATGTTCCACATATCTTCTTCTGTTGGTCAGGAAGACTGAGCCACATGTCTTCTTCTGTTGGTCAGGAAGACTGAGCCACATGTCTTCTTCTGTTGGTCAGGAAGACTGAGCCACATGTCTTCTTCTGTTGGTCAGGAAGACTGAGCCACATGTCTTCTTCTGTTGGTCAGGAAGACTGAGCCACATGTCTTCTTCTGTTGGTCAGGAAGACTGAGCCACATGTCTTCTTCTGTTGGTCAGGAAGACTGAGCCACATGTCTTCTTCTGTTGGTCAGGAAGACTGAGCCACATGTCTTCTTCTGTTGGTCAGGAAGACTGAGCCACATGTCTTCTTCTGTTGGTCAGGAAGACTGAGCCACATGTCTTCTTCTGTTGGTCAGGAAGACTGAGCCACATGTCTTCTTCTGTTGGTCAGGAAGACTGAGCCACATGTCTTCTTCTGTTGGTCAGGAAGACTGAGCCTTTTCTCTAGCTGTTGTCACCGTCCTAGGAGTCCCCAGAAGCTATGCTCTCCCACCAGCCTAAGTACAGGCTGGGCAGTTTCTAGTGTGGACATTAAAGCATTTGATCCTGTATTTCATCGTTATGACTTTTGTTCCTAAATGTTACAATTATATGCCTCGGGTTGGTTCTCTATTCATTCCTTTGGCTGGGGAATTAAAATGGCCTTTTAATCTGAAAATTCATGTCTTTCATCTTTGGGAGATTTTCTTGCATTACTTCTTTCATAATTTCCTTCCCTCAGTTTTCACTGTTCTCTCAGTCAAATACGCTGAACCTCTGCTACTAATCCTTCTTACCATTCTTTCACATTTTCAGTATTTTTGCATTTTTGTCCTACTTTCCAACAACTCCATTTTTTTACCTTCCAAGATTTCTTCAGCCTTATCTTCCAACTTTAATCTGAATTTCAGAAACCATATTTTAACTTTCAAGAGCTCTAATTATCCAATTTTTTTCTTTTTCCACAGCATCCTGTTCTTGTTTAGTAGACTTTACACCCTCTTGAACTCTCAGTGAACACAAATAAGAATTTCTTCCAAACTATTTTTTTTTGACTTAACACACTTGGTTCACCATGTGTTCTATTTATATGTCCATGATGTCAGTCCACATGTCTGATCCTGCCCACCCAGGATAAAGGAAACCTGTACCACATTATAATTTTATAATTATAAAAGTAATTATAATCAACTACTTTTTTATAATAACTACAACAAAGAAAGTACCTAGGTGCTCAAGAAGTGAGCCAGCTTACCTTCATGGAGTCAGAGTATAAAATGTATTCCCTGAGCACGGGCAGAAAGTCTTCCGTCATGTCATCTGTCAGCTCTTCCAAGGCAGTGGAGCAGTTGCCGATGCACGCTGACACGCCCTCCAGGGGTTCCGCCAGCTCCCCCTCTAAAGCGCTCCACGTGGAGTACACGGGTCCATATTCTCTCAGCTCTACAAGGTACTCTAAAGCAGAAGAGAAACCAATAAGCTCTGGCTGGGCAGCAATCGCTGGTATCACTGACTCAAGAACCACCACAGCCAAGAGCTTTCTATATTAAGATGTTTCCTTGGCCATTAACTCACCTGAGCATGCTCCCCGTTAAACACAAAACACTTACACCACTTTTTTTTAAATCTCTGAAAGCTGATGTTACAGTTAACATCATAACTTCCATCAACTCCACCCCATAATGAGAATGCCATGCCTCTGGATATTGGGGACCACAATGCCTTCTGGGGGGAAGAGGTAGGAGCTACATCCACCAAATACCTTCAAAAATAACCACTCTCCTACCCACACAGTGAAGCAGCATTTTAACAATGGTGGCAGAATTTCCTATAGGTTTAGAGGGATGTTTTTAAAAGGGAAAAAATCAGTCACAATGGGAAAATAATGGAATTTTAGGAAGCATTTGATACAGGAGATGTGGTCTTACATAGGCAGACTCACTCTCTCACACAGGGGTCCTTAGGTGTTGACTGTACCTAAAGCTATCTCCAAAACCTGCAGGCCCTACATGATATCATCAGCGGGTAAAGGAGAATTAAACCACGGGAACCAAGAAAAAATGTTATTGCCCCTCACAAAGAAAATCTGGCCCATCCCTGTCACCAGGATTCTTCACATGACAATAAAATGTTGCTGCCATCTTTTTAGAAACCAGTGGGTGGTAACTATTGGAGAATCCCATTCAATGTGTTTCACATCAGTGTCAGCATGTTCATTAACACTGTTCAGGTCCGTCTGGCTCACATGTGTGTAAGACGACAAAAGGCCCCAACATTCAGGGATAAAGAAAAGCAAGTGGCCATGAGACGGGGGAAGGAAGTGGTGGCAACAACCAAGAAGAATAAAGGAAGGTCTCACAACTCCCTAGGTCAGAAAGAGTGGGTTTGAAATGCAGCAGGGGTGGGGCCAATGAGTCAACTTCAAGTCTGAAGGCTCATTAGGATCATGACTTAGGCAACCACAGGGCACCATCCTGTCCTTTTGAACCATCTTTCTGCCAGAAAAGATACCCAAGTGTGTGTTTTTTAATTATCATTCCTAGCAATGAAGGGAGGTTGAGCCAATGTCTCCACTTCTAAAGCTAAAGTTAGGAGAGAGGAAAGCCTACACGTGGTTGTCTGCCCCAGGAAAAGCAAGCCTGAGGCTGAAATGCAGGGCAAAGGAGAGAGCACAAGGTTGAACTCTGGCCACAACTTCCTCTTCCCCTGCTTGTATTTATTTGTTTTCTAAGCAAAACATGGCCTAGTTCTGTCACTCCAGCACTTCCGCAGTTTCCTTCTACTTAGCACACATGAATGCCATTTCTGAAAATGTGGTCCCTGGGCACAATGAAACTCCCAACAAAGAGCTCACCTATTTCTTCTTTGATGATCCGCTGGGCTATCCGATCTATGGTTCCCAGTTTGAGTGCAAACGTGTCCAAGTATTCGCCTATGGCTGCAAACTCCAGAGGCCGACTCCTCAGCTTGTAGCCTCCAGTGACATGCTTGACCGACTCGCCCACCCTGGTCAGCAATGCCATCCCTTGCTTCTTGTAGGCATTCAGGTCCTAAGGATGACACACAAACAAACAACTGAAGGGCCCAATCACTCACGAGTCCAGGACTCAGTGAACCAACTCCACAGGCAGTTGCTTTTTGAAAACAGAGGGCTCAGAAAATAAGGAACTGAGTTAGAAGACCTAACCACATACACAAAAGTATCCCCTCCCTGCCATCACAACCACCAACCTCACAGCCTTTCTAATCAGATTCACTCACCTGAGCATGATCTCCTTTAAACACTGTTCCCACCATAGTTTTTAAAAACTTTTGACTAAAACCAAAAAGTCCCTTTCTCCCTTGCAAAATATCCTAAGTTGTCTTTAGAACCAAAAGTCAAGGGCTGGAATTCATTCCATTCATTTATTTATATCTCAACAAAGCCAAATAAGAAACGGGGAGAGTAAAGGGTGGGAAACCAGACACGGGGACTGAAAAGCCAGTGCTAGAAAGCTCAAGGCAAGGGCAGCTGCTGTAACAGCAAAACACTGCACCCTGGGCTTCTTGGTCAAAGCACACATGGGAAGTACAGTGAGCGACATAACCCATTGTGTCTAAGTTTAAAAAGCATATTAGTCTGCCAGGTAAAACAAGATTCTTCCTATTGCTAAATTCTAAGAGGACTGACAGTGTCTTCAAGCTGTTCTGTGTCCCTAACTTGAAAGGCCTGCACAAGTGGTTTTACAGAAGATGCAAGTGTCTGTCCCTTCTTTCCACCCTCAGTACAAACAGAATGCTAACTCCTAGTCCTAGAAAGGCATGACTACAGGGAGCTAAGGGAACATCACACAAAGCCATTGCTTTCCAGTGACCCAGCCTGATGTAGGGATAAGGCGAGAACAGGGAATCACAGTAACACAGCTGTCCAGCAGCCCCCACCCATCTGACACTCAGTCGCAGGCTCAGATCTGTGTGTCTGAGAGTAGACTCCTCCCGATTTCACTTCCCCCTCCTTTGCGCATTCAGGGCCTTCACTTTTGCTCTTGATTCTACTCTTTCCAACCCACCCTGCCCCCGCCAAGGCACTTGCCCTATCAACCCTCCCCTCGCCTGTCTGTATCTTCAACTCCTAACCCTTCAGTACGTAAACTATGCCCAAGGCTCCCCCATCTTAAAAACAGCGGCAGTCACCTCCAGCCCCCTCCTCCACTTCTCTCCTTCTTTTCAAGTCAGGCTGCCTGAGAAAATGGTCTAAAGATTCCATTTCCCCTTCTAACCTTATACATCCTCGATGAAAAATATCCTTGTGGGCACCAGGCTTCCACAAGACCATAAGTGAAGCCTCGAAATTCTCAGAACTGCTTCTAATATTTTTTGGAGCAGGGTTAGATCCAAAAGGGCTCCTTGGACGGCATACACTCCACTTTGAGTAGAGCTCTGAACGGGTGACCCCAGTTATCCAGGTTAATTAACATGTTGAATATAGTTATTTACAGTATTTTACAGTATTTACCTATCTGATTATTGCACCCATTCTGCCAAAGATGAAGACACTAATTTGAACATAGCTGATACTGAGTGGCGCCTACCTCTCCCAGCATCCCTGGCTGCTACTTCAAGACGCTTCTACCTGGGATAAGATCATGTCATCATGGGGAGAAGAAAGCGTTCACTGTAGCAGAACGTGGACGTGGGTAATTTAAGAACAAGACCAAGCATTTCCTGGTGTGTTAAAAGGTGGGGCACTGGGGGGAGGGAGGGATG